ATAAGTGTGGCCGCAGCCTTTAACCGATTCCTTCCAGCCCGTAGGCAAACCTTACATTCGGCCGCCTGGACTGCATCTTTGAATCAGCATCATGGAGACCTGGAGCCCCAGAACCACCGGCTGCCCAAATTTTTCTTTCTGTTCCATGTTTTTTTTTTTTGAGACAGAAGTCTTGCTCTGTCGCCCAGGCTGGAGTTTTCAGTGGCGAGATCTCAGCTCACCTGGCAAGCTCCGCCTCCCAGGGCTCACACCATTCTCCTGCCTTCAGCCTCCGAGTAGCTGGGACTTAAGTGCCCGCAACCACGCCCGGCTAATTTGTGTATTTCTGGTAGAGATGGGATTGTCCATGTTAGCCCCAGGGATGGCTTGGATCTCCTGACCGTCCCCCCGATCCCGCCACCTTGGCCTCCCAACAAGATCGCTGATTACAGCATGAGCCACCGCGCCCTGCCTCTTTTTCTTGTCTTCTTCTTTTTGTTTTTTTTTTGAGACAGAATTTCACTCCTGTTGCCCAGGCTCAAGAGTGGCAGTGGTGCGATCCTGGCGATTGCCACTTCTGCCGTCCCGGGTCAAACATTCCGCTCGAGCCTCCGAATAGCGGGAATTATAGGCGCCCCCACCAACCATGCCAAGTTTTGTTTGATTTTTAAGTAGAACAGGGTTCACCATGTTAGCCAGGCTGGTCTCGGAAACTTCCTTGATTTCAGGTTGGAGTCTGGCCCCGCTCGCAGGTCTCCCAAAGTGCTGGGAGTTAAGCCAGGAGGATTGAGTCACGTGGCCCGCGCTGTTTTGTCTTTTAGACCGGGGGCGGATCACTCTGCACTCAGTAAAGAGTGCAAGGCACAATCTTGGTTCCACTGAGGGCCTCGAGGTCCCAGGCTTCAAGCGATCTTGCGTACCCTCACTGCCCAGTAGCTAGGGGTGGACTATAAGCACAGCACCACCATGCCTGCTAAGTTATGTAATATACTATTAGGATGCAAGTCTTTGCTCTGTTGCCAGATGAAAGCCTGGGCCTCAAAGCAATTCCCCCACCCTTGACTCTCCAGATGCTAGGACCAGCTTACTGCAACCTCTACCTCCTGTGTTCAAGCGATTCTTCTGCCTTAGCCCCCAAGTAGCTGGGATTACAGGCACCTGCCACCATGCCTGGCCAATTTTTGTATTTTTAGTAGAGATGGGGTTTCACTATCTTGGCCAGACTGGTCTCGAACTCCTGACCTCAGGTGATCCACCTGCCTCGGCTTCCCAAAGTGCTGGGATTACAGGCATGAGCCACCGCGCCTGGCCAGGGATAGGTGTTTCCCATTTAGAAAGTGAGACAAGAGTAGGCCAGATTGGGAAGACTTTTCCCAGCAGAGGCTCAGGGGAGAGCGGGCCGAGATGCCGAAGTGCTTTCCCCTGTTGAGAGCCTGGCCTGTGGGAGGTGGAAGGAGGAGAGTTTGGTGATCTCAGGATCAGAGCAGGGAAGGAGAAGCTAAGGAGGTACTAATGTGGTTCCTCATTGGCATGGAGAGGCCTCTGCACAGGAATGGGCCTCCCTCAATCTGTGCCTCTCCCACCTCACCCCCATCTCACCCCCATCCAAGGCGGTGAGGGCCACCAGGCAGCTGAGTACCCTCTCTGCTTATCTTCCCCGTGGGGGAAGAATTGGCCCTCCTGCTGTGAATGTGGTCCTCAGTCCCGGATGCAGAGCCTGCAGGGCGGGGCAGAGGTTAGGGAAGGGCAGTCGGAGTGGGCAGTGCCCATCTGGGTCTCCAGGTGTGAGTGTTAATGGGTGCTGCATCCCAGCCTGAAGGAGATGCTCCCTAATGGCAATTAGGATGACCAGGCTGTGCTTCCCCCACATCCCACCCTCTTTATGGGCAAAGGTGGCAATGGGAGAAACTTAAATCCAAAAGTTAAAAAATAGGCCGGCCTCGCGGCCTCAGCGTCGTTTTCTTGGAAACCTCTGCGCCATGAGAGCCAAGTGGAGGAAGAAGCGAATGCGCAGGCTGAAGCGCAAAAGAAGAAAGATGAGGCAGAGGTCCAAGTAAACCGCTAGCTTGTTGCACCGTGGAGGCCACAGGAACAGAAACAGGGAATGCCGGGCGCTGGGGATGCTGGTACAAGCTGTGGGACTGCATGCTACTGTCTAGAGCTTGTCTCAATGGATCTAGAACTTCATCGCCCTCTGATCGCCGATCACCTCTGAGACCCACCTTGCTCATAAACAAAACTGCCCATGTTGGTCCTCTGCCCTGGACTTGTGACATTCTGGACTATTTCTGTGTTTATTTGTGGCCGAGTGTAACAACCCTATAATAAATCACCTCTTCCTCTCTTTTAGCTGAAGAATTAAAAAAAAAAAAAGAAGCCTAATTGCCCTGGACCAGGCGCCGGTAATCCCAGCACTTTGGGAGGTTGAGGTGGGTGGATCACTTGAGGTCAGGAGTTCGAGATCAGCCTGGCCAACATGGTGAAACCCCATCTCTACTAAAAATACAAAAATTAGTCCAGCGTGGTGGCAGGTGCCTGTAGTCCCAGCTACCTGGGAGGCCGAGGCAGGAGAATCGCTTGAACCTGGGAAGTAGAGGTTGCAGTAAGCTGAGATCGTGCCACTGCACTCTAGCCTGGGCGACAGAGCGAGACTCCATCTCAAAAAGAAAAAAAAAAAGTAAGAAATAAATAACGAGAAGGGGAGAAAAGACCAGCTTGGCCAACATGGTGAAACCTTATCTCTACTAAAAATACAAAAAACATTAGCCAGGTATGGTGGTGCAATGCCTGTAATCCCAGCTACTCAAGAGGCTGAGGAAGGAGAATCGCTTGAACCCGGGAGGTAGAGGTTGCAGTGAGCCGAGCGTGACAGGAGCGAGACTCCATCTCAAAACAAAACAAAACAAAACAAAAACAAACAAACAAAAAAAACCCACAAAACCAAAGGCTTCTAATTCCCTGGGTTTTTTTTTTTTTCCAAGCCCAAACTTAAAGCAGGCTTGAGTCTCTGCCTCTGGTTCCCTGCTGAGGCAAGATAGAGTGAAGAGGACCTGAGCCTGGAGTCCATCCCACGGTGCCCTGTCTCCTCGGCCTTCCCTCTGTCTGTGATGGAAATACATGTTTGATCTTTACCCTGGTCTCTGGCACGGAGCTCCTGAAACCCTTGGAATTTCCCGAGTGATAGTGGTGCCAGGAGCATCTGCTGTTATTTCTAAGCCCCTTTCAACCACACCTGAGCTGATGCTGATGGAGTGACTCTTGGAGGATGGGGGCTGGTTGCCGGAGGAACCAACCATGTGATTAGAGGGTTGGAACTTTCAACCCCCTCCCCAGCCTCCAGGTAGAGGAGAGGAGCTGACAGTGAGTTCAATTACCAAGGCCAACGATTTAATCAATCATGCTACATAATGGAGCCTCCATAAAAACCCTAAACAATGGAGTTCAGAGAACTTACAGGTTGGAGAAGGCTTGGAGGTGCTGGGAGGATGTCATGCCCAGAGAGGGCATGGAAGCTCCATACCCCTCCCGCAAACCTTGCTGGAAGCATCTCATCCACCTGGTTATTCATCTGTATCTTTTGTGATGTAATTTCCTTCCTTCCTCCCTCTTTCCCTCCCTCCCTCCCTCCCTCCCTCCCTCCTTTCCTTCCTTCCTTCCTTCCTTCCTTCCTTCCTTCCTTCCTTCCT